TTCATTTTGCTTGTTATCAATACATACATATTTAGTAAAATAACATTTCGACGAAGTGGTGTCAACTGACAACGCTTGGGTCACGGTGCACCCCTCGCCTGGTCCGCCAATGTCGATTATACTAGATCAGCAAGGTAATTCAGTAATGCACCTAATGCCTGTCACAGATAGTAATTCTCATGATAATTTCCCTATATATAATTTCGTTAAAAAGCAAGAGCATGCTCAAATGGCACTCTGTAGAACGTGCAAAATGAAGCACATATCAATGAATCTCAATCATGAGACATGTTGTACAATGTTTAGGAAAAACTTATGAAAAGAGTTCAAAGTTTTAGGATGATTCTATTCCCGCCCTGCCTCACCATCCGCTATCCGCCCTTAGGGGAATGCTCTCTTACCTAAGAAAACTATACTTCACAAACTTCCATAGATGTTACTTTCGATCTGAAAATTACCGTGATTTATTAGACACAAATGATTGGGCCAATTTGAGCTAACATAACAGCAGCTGATATCAAGGTAGATAGATGAAACAAATTCACTATTGAAGGACAGGAGAGTGTACCTTATCCACCATGCTTCCGTCTGTACGTGGTACCTCTTCTATCACCCAACCATCAGGAAGATCATAGGGTAAGGTGGTTGCTCTTGTTGACGGCACAATTGCCCATTCATTCAACTGCTCTTCATCCATTCTAACGATCTGAAATTTTATCAATGTCAACTATCAAGTTTCCTATTTGATTCAGAATACATCTTTCACCTTGCCTAAAGGCACCATCATGTGATGATTAAAGTTAAAATCCCAGCCTTTACTGACATAGCCTATGAATGTAAGATGAGCATGTTTGTTGTCTAACTTTCTTCAAGGAATACAACAACCTCGATTCATTTATATAACATTTCTGAGTAAGCAGCAGAATTAAGGCTTTGCATTCCCTCTTAATGATTCTCAAATGAAGTTTTTGTTTTAAAATCGTAAGAAAACAACGACAACAGTGAAAAAGTAGTATTTCGCACATAGATTTCAAAGTTCCCAAGGCCTTTCACTACATTAAAAGCTTAAGATTGCTGTTGCAATTACTAGGAGAAGATTCAGAATCTTACTAACCAGCATTAGACCGGAAATTCGGACTATATTTTTCAGAGTTACTTTTTAGTAGGTCAAATGACTAGTAGTTTCCCACACGAATTATCATAACTCGTTTTCATCTGAAAAACCAAGTCCATTGCTTTTTGACAAATTTCAATTTTCAATTACAAGAACAAGGGAGAGAAAAAGAGCAACAATATGACCCTCTTCCTTTCAGCTGCCCCCATCCCGAACCCAAGATAAAAAAACACAAGAAAAAAAATGTAAATAAAGTTTAACGAAAATATACTACTATAATAACATAACATCCACAAGAAGTAGTTGAATAAAAGATCTGAGGGCCAAAGTGCAGTCAAATCCGTACCTTCCCATCGTAGATGACCATCTTCCGAGATAGAGAACTCTGTGAAGGACGAATACTCCGTAGATGAACAGAACAGAAAAAAACACCAAGTAAAAAAAAAAGAGAGGAGTTTCATACTCAGGCATCATCAAACTAGCGAAAGTACTAAATTTTTGTGAAATATTCAATTCTTAAACTTGCCTTAGGATAATTTCTCACTCCCGATGCCCTGATTCTAGGAGCAAATATTTGACCGTTCAATCGTCGCTCGACATCTCTCAATGATCTGAACTTTTGTCCAGTCCCAGGCTCATAGTAGTACTGCATGAAAACATAATGTATGTGTTAAAGAGTATCATGCTTTAAAACACAATTGGCATTTATGTAATTAATAATCTGACACATGGATAGGGAAAAATTTAGTTCCATCACATCGAAATGAAAGAACGTGGCCAAGCCTGCATAGGTCACTCAAAAGGTTACAAATTTCCAGTAATATCTAATCCACAAATCAGCTTTTATCTTTTGAGGTCTTGTTATCTACACATTGTGTAAACACAGATGCTCAGCGTAAGCTTTCACCAATCAAGTTTGATGGAAAAACTAGAGGTTAGAAATCTGGAATTGAATGCCATATCTATAATTATAGAAGCAAGGACTCATCATTGATCCTCTGCAGTATCTATATTAGCACCAGAAATGATCTAAAACAGTCATAGACTTGTAAAATTGAAGGTCAAAATCCACGCCTCAAAGTACAGATACATAAACTCTTTCATCACGCACGGCATGACCTCAGAGAAAAAGTCCTAAAGATCTCATATTCAATTCAGCTTCATTCTTAGTCCTGGCCAATCTCTCTCTTACATGTCAGCTATACCGTGGACCTACCATGTAAGGTTCCCCAGGGACAAATTACCCATCTGTCCACTAATATTCCAATTCCATGACAAAATGAATCACATCAGATTTTGCTTCCCTCCGCTCTCCCAGTCCTTTTCAGTCGCCCTCTAAAACTAAAGTCAGTTGAGCTCTTTCGGCTCTTAGACCAGCTGTAATCCTTCCTCCTATGCATCCTTAGAGTCAGTAAATACTTCAGCATGCACAAAAATGCAAAGCATTCTGAAACTAACATATCTCTTGAAATGAAGCATGTATGTATAACGGTATAGCAACACTAAACCTTTAAAATACCTTAGTTTCTGGATAACTAGCAAAACATCCAAATGATTGAAAGTTAAACATCTACTCCTACAAACAGAATCCTATCTCATTTGCAGTTGATCTACCTCCATTCATGAAAATGTCTCTTTTCTTGCTATTCTTTTAGGCCCGTCCCCAAAAAAATGTCTCTTTTCTTACTATTCTTTTAAGCCCGTCCCAAAAAAATGTCTCTTTCTATATTTAGTATGCTTTCCAATCACAACATTATTTAAAACCATAAGACTTAAAAGTACTACACATGTTTAATTTTAATGTAGGATCACAAAATTAAAAAAATTCTCTTTATTTCTTGAGTTTCGTGACTAATCAAACTAAGACATATAAATTAAATCAGAGGCATCAACTCAATAAGTCATCTCTTTTCTTGTTTCTAGTTTTCTTCAACTAAGAAAATAACTCTAGATAATAACTATTAGTTGAATGATCATGTGAGAAATCAATTTCAATAGCAAATTAACTTGAAAGTAAATAATTTGGAAAATGTTAAAAAGAAAAGTGTACCCTGTCAACTCGATCGCCACTAGAGCGAAGCACTTGTTCAATACCCCAACCAGGTGGTAACTTAAACCTTGATGAGGAGGACGACGACGGCGCAACCATTAGTTGACCGGAAGTTGGGTACTCTGCGCCGCTTCGGTGGCGGCGTGGCGGTAGCATTGTGGAATTGTGTTTCTCCATTGTATGCCTCTTCACAATATGACACCACTTGGTATATATGGGTGGCAATGTATTTGTTTATTGTTTTCATGACACATCACTAGTCACATTCTTTATTTATTTTTATTTTATTAGTAAGCTAGTAAAATTATCCGCGCTTTGCGCGAAAATTTAATATCACGAAATTTATAAAATAATACTTAAAATCTATCAATCATTAAAACTAAAATACTATAGTATCTTACATACAAGATTGCGAAATAACAAACATTAATAATGTAGAGGAAAATGAAAATTATTACATCTTATCATTTATCCTTAATAACATAAGCATAAATTACTGACTGTAAAAATACGTACCAGGATCTGTAACATAAGCAATAGTGTTAGTGAGCCACTCAACAGTAGCAAAGTAACACAAATATTTAATTGTGAAGAAGAAGAAGAAGAAGAGGTTAAGAATTTTCGTTGTTCTAAAATGAGAGGAAATCCCTCTATTTATAGACAACAAATGATAGTGTGAACAAATATTTATTGTGCCTTATCGGAAATGTTACAACTATTTGAAAAAGTTGCAACCCTTCGGAAAGGTCACAACATTTCATAAAAGTCGCAACTCTTCATTAAAGTCGCAACTTTTCATAAAAGTCACAACTTTTCATAAGAGTCGCAACTCTTCATTAAAGTCACAACTTTTCATAAAAGTCGCAAATGTTCATTAAAGCCGCAACTTTTCATAAATGTAAGGGGAAGGCTAGTTTTGGAAATAAATAAATAAAAAGGAAATTCTGATTTGGGGTAGCGCCACGTAGGTGGGCCCAAGATTCTCTTTTATATATATAGATAGATAGATTAGTACTACTTAGAGCCCGTTTGGATTAACTTAAAAAAAATAGCTTTTAAGTCAAAAATAAAAAATCAAACTGAAATGACTTTTAAGTCAAAAAATAAGAAGTGGGGAGACCTACTTTTGATTTCTGACTTATTTTAAGTCATTTTTTATCTTGCCAAACACTTCGTAACTTATTTTAAATCATTTTTTAATTATTTTAAGTTATTTTTTATATTTGCCAAACACTTTCAGAAGTTAAAAACTGACTTGACTTAAAAGTAAGTTTGAGCGATTTTTAAGCCAATCCAAACGGGCTTAGTTTTCTCGCCAATTTTTGTTATGCTTTTAAGACAACGCTAAAACTTCAAATAATTTTTGTTATGTTTTTAAGACAACGCTAAAACTTCAGATATGTACGAGGTTTAGAAAAAGGTCGGACACAAAGACGTCTATCTTTTGCAACCACAAATATGTTAAAGAGAAATATAACCGTTCACATTTATTTTTTTTGACATGTTCTAAATTCAAATAGTGCAAAACATTTTCATTTTATGCTTTCTTCCTAGTATAGCTATTATTGTAGCCATCTCTCTCTCTCTCTCTCTCTCTTATACAGTTCAATTAATAGTCAAAAACAAACACAGATTTGCTTAGATCATTCTAATTGGTTGATTTCGAAAATCATCAACGTTGAAACTTTTTTTTCCGTACTTATCAAGCGCAAATAAGTCGTTATCGATGCCAAATTAGCAAAAAATCAAATCTGACTCTATGTCATGTCATACCTTAGATAATTTTGATTATATATATTTGCTAAACTTACGATTAATTGCAAAATATAAACTGGATGAATTAATTAAGAAAATATATAAGAAAAATGAATGAATACATTAAAAGAATTAACAAATGAAGTATTACAGCTTCTTCTAATCCTACAAGAATATAATATCAAATAAAAATTCTCAAAACAGGAGATGCAATTGGTGCGGTCGGCCATAACTTGAAATCAACATTATCATCACGAGGGGTTAAATTTAAGTCCAAACAAAAAATCCTCTTGCTGCTATTCGACTTCGTCAACACTGGTATCATCCTCGACGTTTTATTAATTTCATCGCGATGACGCTTCATGTGCCCTCCTAACGCTTGACCCAAAGAAAACTCCACACCACAAATAGAGCATTTATGCATCTTGTTCTTTTTGTTGGTTTGAACAAGAAACTCTCCTAGTAATCTTGGCTTTTTATTATGACTTGCACGATGACCGCCTAAGGCTTGAAAAGACGGGAAGCGTTTATTGCAAGTCTTGCATTCAAAATCATTAATATGATGATGATCTGATGAAGATGAAGTGTTGTTGGTATTGAAACGAGACAAAAGCATTAAGGCGCAGTTAGCCATGGCCTCTGCTTCCACTAGCACATCCTCTCCTCTGCTTCTTTTTAAGGCACTCATATTATCAAGAATGAAGACACAAAGTTGTTTTTGAAGTTAGAAGAAATGTGTGAAAGTTTGAAGTTTGAAGTGAAGAATATGATACACATTTGGTTGCTCTTTGCTTCAAATTTATATTGGTATGAGATAAGACAAGGTTGACGTGTTTTTGAAAAAAACGTGCATCACATTATTCTTTATTAATTAGTAACAATTAATAATGTTTGACTTTAGGTTACGTGAGTCAAAGAAATCCTAGAGATACTTTATCTGTCTAACAATAGTTGTCTACTATTTGATGTGACACACGAATTAATTAGAAATGGTAAATGACAGAGATAATTTACCAAATCACCCTTATTAAATATAAATTCATTAATTTTATAAACTTAATAAATATTATTAAAATATTTCAAAATAATATAACAGACAAATAAAAATTGACGCGGAAGTAGTACTTTACAAGTGGAAAAGGAATCAATTGATTTGAAGTGAGGGGTAGGTACGTAGTAACGCGTTAGTCAATCATGTGGATAAGGAATATTTCAGGTCATTTCATGTGAGCGGAAAAGTAATGTTGCCTTCTTTGAGCTTTCTACAACACTTCCAAGTAGGAGCAGACGTTCTACTACTCACATGTCATGGCCACATATTTTTCCGGTTAAGGAATAAAAAATTATTCACATTGATATTTGTTAAGATTGTATAAAGAATTGAGATATTTGTATTTCAAAGTAAATGTTTCGATTCTTTATACAATCTTAGTAAATAAATAAAAATTTATAATAAAAATATAATGCGCTATCATAAAGAAATATACAATATTTATTAATCGAACTTTAACTCAATAAAAAAATAAATTTGAACATGGATTGTAGTGTACTACTCTTTAATATAATTCTCCTACATAGTATGGACAATTGAGCATCCATTTCTCGATGTAAATGGTTTAAAAAGTTGTAAGAATAATAATATCAATTTTAAATTTGGTTGGTGAGGGTAATGGTTATATTCGATATTATAAATGATTTAAAAGTTGGTAAGAATAATAATATCAACTATAAATTTGGTTGGTGAGAATAATGGTTATATCCGACATAAATGGTTTTAAAGATTGGTATGAGTAATAATTATTATCAACTATATAAATTTTATTTACGTATGAAATAAATGATAGATAGATATAAAATTGTGGGTTTTCTTTTGCAAATATACTTTAGAATATCAATTCATATTCAAATAATTTAAATTTTGAAATATAAAATATGACATCTAATTTAAAACGATGTATTAAGATTGACATTATCAGGGGCTGGGGAAAACACATGGCGTAGACATTTGTAAAGAACAAATTATGCCTTTTCAACTAAGTACTTTCTTGGTGATGAAAGCAGTGACTTGGAACACATAAGTTGAAACCTAAAGACCAACTAACATGGTTTAGTGCTAATTCTTTAATTAGCACTAATTAACTAACAGCAACAGTGTAATAGTACTTTTTTTTTAGGTTGGTGATGGTGACGAATGCAATGATATTTGATATATATATAGTGTATTTAATTATATTTTAAAAATATATTATTTAAGTTTTACAACATAAAAAAGAAAGACAATTTGATATCATCTCATTCTTAATAAGTGTGGGTTGTTCCGTTTCGTCCTCCTCCTGTAACTTTCGTAAATAAGAGCTTGTTTGGATTGACTAACTCATGCCATTAATAAAGTCGTAACGGACGTTCATGAAAAATTTCGGTAAACAATAAGTTGGGATCATGTATCACCAAAAAATTATGGACATAGCACACGAAAAACAGTAAATTCGGTCTTTCTCACATTGGGGCTCGTTTGAACTTGAAAATGTGTCTGTTTGCCTCTCGAGACCAACTCACGCCATTAATAAGGTCGTAACGGACGTCCATGAAAAATTTCGGCCAAAAACAAGTCGGGATCCCGTATTACCAAAAATCCATGGACTATCAACAAACGAAAAATGGTAAAATTCAGCAATTTTCTTAGTTTTTCATGTGTGTTAGCCTATGCATATTTTTGGTGATATGACTTCTAGACTTTTTTTTTGTGAAACCATTAATAAAGTTATATCGGACGTCCATTAAAAGTTTCAGCCAAAAAACAAGTCGGGATCACGTATCACCATTAATCTATGGATTATAGCATACAAAAATGGTAAATTCGGTCTTTCCCGCATTGGGGCTCGTTTGAACTTGAAAATGCGTCAGTTTTCCCCTCGAGACCAACTCACGCCATTAATAAGGTCGTAATGGACATTCATGAAAATTTTGGCAAAAAACAAGTCGGGATCATGTATCACCAAAAACCCATGGACTAGCACACGAAAAACGGTAAATTATGTTTTTCCCACATTGTGGCTCATTTAAACTTGAAAATGTGTATGTTTGCCCCTCAGGACAACCTCACGCCATTAATAAGATCGTACGAACGTCCATGAAAAATTTCAACCAAAAAACAAACTGGATCCCGTATTACCAAAAATCCTTGGACTATAGCACAAGAAAAAAGGTAAAATTTGGCAATTTTCTTAGTTTCCAATTTGTGTTAGCCTATGAATATTTTGGTGATATGACTTCTAGACTATTTTTTTGTGAAACCTTTATGGCACCCTCCGTATGGAGTTAGGGGAGCAGTACCTACAGTCTCACTATTTTTAGAGTAATTTTGGGCATTAATTAGGGGCCAATTTATAGAAATTATTTTATGCGTTTTTCGTGTGTGTTAGCCCATGAATATTTTGGTGATATGGTCTTCCAATGAATTTTTTGTGAAACTTTTATGGAACCCTCTATAGGGAGTTGGGGGAGCAGTACATACAATTTCACCATTTTTAGAGTGATTTTTAGGAATTTAGGGGTCAATTTATAAGAATTAGACAATTTTCTCAATTTTTTGTATGTGTTAGCCCATAAATATTTTGGTGATATGATTTCCGGATGAATTTTTTACGAAACCTTTTAAGGGAGTAGTGCGTACAGTCTCATCATTTTTAGAGTGATTTTTGGACATCTAGGGACCTATTTATATGAATTAGGCAATTTTCGTATGGATTAGCTCATTAATATATATTTTGGTGATATGACTTCCGAGAATTTTTTTGCAAAACTTTATTGAATCAAACTTTATTACGTTCCTGAAGAAAAAGAATGAACGAACTAATTAAGGATTATATACAACAAAAATGAATGCAAAATGTCTAAAATGAACTAATTAAATAAAGATTCTCAAAACAGGAGATGCAATTGGTGCCGTCGGCCATAACTTGAAATCAACATTATCATTACGAGGGGTTAAGTTTAAGTCCAAACAAAATATCCTCTTGCTGCTATTGGACTTCGTCAACACTGGTATCATCGTTGTCGACGTTTTATTAATTTCATCGCGATGACGCCTCATGTGCCCTCCCAAGGCTTGACCCAAAGAAAACTCCACACCACAAATAGAGCATTTATGCACCTTATTCTTTTTGTTGGTTTGAACAAGAAACTCTCCGAGTAATCTTGGCTTTTTATTATGACTTGCACGATGACCGCCTAAGGCTTGGAAAGACGGGAAATGTTTATTGCAAGTCTTGCATTCAAAATCATTAATGTGATGATGATCTGATGATGAAGAAGTGTTGCTGAAACGAGACAAAAGCATTAAGGCGCAATTAGCCATGGCCTCTACTTCAATTTGCATATTGTCTTCTCTGCTTCTTTTCATAGATGTCATATAATTGAAGATTTTTACAAATTGTATTATCAAATTTAGAAGTTTGAAAGAAAGATTTGAATTTAGAAGTTTAAGAATATGATACTTTTTGGATGGTGTTGCTTCACATATATATATATAAGTTTGTGTCTTGACTTTTTTGCGTGTGTCTGAATTTTCCTTGTTGGTTAAGTGAGTCAAAGAAAATGTGCAATTTAAAAGAGACAAGAAAAGTAAAATAATGTTGGCTTCTTTGAGGTTTCTAGAACACTTCCAACTGCCTTCATATGTGTATGGTTGACCAAATAAAGGGTTGAAAAAAGAAAAACACGTGCATACGTAGTAGCATCGTGAAAAGGACAATGTGTTTTTTTAAGACTAATTTTATAATACTATTAGGGTCGTTTGATTGGAACAAGTTATTTCGTCATGTATATTACTTATTCAATCATTATGGAAAAAATTATGGAATAAATAATCCAAGGGTTACCTAATAGGCTAATACTTCCAACTAAACATGGGATAAAGTAATTCTATATTTTATCCTGAAATTGTTACACTTTATACCTCACCTCACAATAAACGATTCCTAACTATTTTATTTCTTTTAAATTTGTTTTGAAAAGAATGTTATCTTATTATAGTTAGAAATAATTTAATTTATTTGTACCTTTAATGAAATGATTTACAGCAACATAAATAGGTAAATTTGTTTTAAATTAGAAGTTTTAAAAATACTTTTATTTCTTAAATATCATGTCAAATAAAACGATGTCACCTAAAATGGGACGAAACGAAAATTTGTGTCTTGGTTGGTGAGGGTTATCAGAGCGTGACTTTGTACACAAGTTGGAAGAGAAAAAACAAGGCAGCATGGTTTAGTATTACTTTCACAAATCGCTTTGTAGGAGTCAAAGATTCATGAAGGAAAATGAAATAAATTGTGATGGAGTCAAATTTTGTTTGGCGGTTGGATATATGATGCAACTAACTTTTTATTTGTATTTTGGTTTTCATGAGATTGTTTTGAACGTAAAGAAATTAATTTAGATTCGTGCCGTGTAAAATCTATATATTGAAGAAAAAATTAGGATATAATTTCTTTAATTTTTAGAGTTTAAATTCAAGACTTTTAATTAATTAAAAGTAGGGATAAACTTCATTAATGATCATACAATTATGATTTTTTTTCCCACCAAAATCACTCAATTATGTTTTCAAACACAAAAATTATAAAATATTGTCCCAACTAACACAAAAATCACACATGACGGAATATTCAACTTCCTATGGAAACTCTTTATGATATTTTTTATTTTAATTTAATAAATATGAATTTAATTTTAAATAATCGACTCGACCGATACTAATCTTTTACTACTTCTTTATTTTATTTTTAGTCGTATAAATACTAATCCAATTAAATAGAACCGATCCAATCAAAATACAAGCGCAAAAATTAAAATACTAAAAACGTGAATGAATTTAGAAAGATTATGACAAAATTATTACTTTGGATGCAAGTAGTAGTAACTATTAATCCGTTCTTAAAATTGAATTTGTATTTATTTTTATAAAAAATACAAAAAAAAAAGTATTACCCATAAGTTGAATTTTCTGACATGTGTGTTAGTAAAAGTAAAGTTTGAGGGTTTTATGTTAGAAAACATAATTAACTGGTTTTGGTGAAAAAGGCAATTTACTTATTAAGTGTAATTTTTTGGTGCCTTTACCTTTTAATATTATAAATATAATATTATGTCATCACAATATGTTACAATCCTCTCAATTAATTGTGTAGCATTTGTCTTGTTATGTTGATGGCATATAATGTTTTCTTTATTCTCATTAGTTAGTGGTAGAATGTGATTATTATGACAACTATATATATATATATATATATATATATTATAAAGAATTACACAAATAACTGCATGTAGCTAATTAGTTCTCCTAATACTAATTAAAGGTTAGTAACGAATTATAAGCTAATTAACTTAAATAAATATTCGCAAGACGGGCGATGGAGCCTCTTCGATGGGCCATAACTTCACATCATCAACATTGTCATCATCATCAGGTGTTATGTTTAAGTTCAACCCAAAAATATTAATCCTCTTGCTGCTATTTGACTTCTTCAAAATTGGAATCATAGTCTTTTCGGGTGTAATTTTATTAATTTCATCACGGTGACGCCTCATATGTCCGCCTAATGCTTGACCCAAAGAAAACTCCATGCCACAAATAGAACATTTATGCATCTTATTCTTTGTGTTGGTTTGAACAAGAAACTCTCCTAGTAATCTTGACCGTTTATTATGACTTGCACGGTGTCCACCAAGAGCTTGAAAAGATGAAAATCGTTTATTACAAGTCTTACATTCAAAATCATTATCGTTGTTTAAACGCGACAAAAGCATTAAGGCGCAATTAGCCATAGCTTCTGCTTCCACTTGTCCATTATCTTCTCTTCCTCTTTTCATGGCTGTCATGTTTATACGAATAAAAAATGAAAATATAAGGATTTTTTTGTATACTAAGTTTTTGAAATGGAGAATTTAGAAGTGAGAAATGATACTTTTGTTGGTGTTGTTCCACATATATATACAGACAAAAGTTTTATGTGGAATTAATATAGTACGTGTTATCCAAGATTTGTTGTTTCCTTTTTACTTATTGATTAAGTTAGTCACAAATTTAATTAATAAAAATAGTCGTTTTCAAAGTAGAGCTCACCGTGTTTGAGTAATAAAATAATGTGTGGGGGAATATTTTTCAGGTAGTTTCGTTGAGCTTTCTAAAACAACATATTTGCTTACGTACTCCTAGTCCTACCAATTTTTCTCAAAGTATAAATTATTTTTTGTAATTTAAAAATAACTTAACTTTTCTCAAGTATCATAGAATATCAACAAATTATTTTTCATAAAAAAAAAAATCATTCGATTTTGCCTAAATATCGCAACGTAGCCCACCAGATAATTTTTTGCAGTTAACTTTATTTAAGTATCATATAAAATGTCTCTTTGCTTCCTATCAGTTATTAAGCATCAGTGCTTAGCAATTTTAATTACTTTGAATTAATGTAACATTAATAATAATTAGCTTTTTTTTCTCTAATTGGAATGAACCTTCCTTCTAGTCCTATATGTGGAAAATAATTTTTTCTACCAAATTTAAGGTATTTAAGTCAACTCTTGAAATTGAACTAACGTTTGGTAATTAACATTCGATACTAGAGAAGAATGATTGAGAGGCATATTCTTGATTTGAAATTTATGTATTTTTCTAACGATTTCAAGTTAATAAAATAATATAAATTATTGATTTCACATTTTTAAATATTTGTAGATATGTAAAAAAAATATTAATAATATATATAGTCATAGAGAGTCTATGCACAAAGCCACAAACTACTGAGTTTACACAAATCCGTAATCACCTATCTACATGGAACAAATAAAAATAGACGCCAGAAGTAGTACTTTACAAGTGGAAAAGGAATCAATTGATTTGAAGTGTGGGGTAGGTAGGGTACTCTATTTGGTAACGCGTTAGTCAATCATGTGGATATATAAGGAATATTTCAGGTCATTTCATGTGAGCGGAAAAGTAACGTTGCCTTCTTTGAGCTTTCTACAACACTCCCAAGTAAGGGCGGACGACGTTCTACCACTCATATGTCATGGCCACGTATCTTTCCGGTTAAGGAGTAAGAAATTATTCACACTTATATTTGTTAAGATCGTATAAAGAATCGAAAAATTTGTATGAAATACAAATATATAAATATCTCGATTCTTTATACAATTTTAACAAATAAAATACAATATTTATTAATCAAACTTTAACTCAATTAAAAAATAAAATTTAACATGAATTACAGTGTACTACTCTTTAGTATAAATCTCCTACTATGGACAATTGAGCATCCATTTCTCAATGTGAATGGTTTAAAAAGTTGTAAGAATAATCATATCAACTTTAAATTTGGTTGATGAAGGTAATGGTTATATCCAATATTATACATTATTTAAAAGTTGGTAAGAATAACAATATCAGTTATAAATTTGGTTGGTGAGAATAATGGTTATATCCAACATAAATTGTTTTAAAGGTTGATAAGAGTAATAATTATTATCAACTATAAATTTTATTTATATATGAAATAAATGGTGGATAAATATAAATTAAAATTGTGGATTTTCTTTTACAAATATATTTTACAAAATCAATTTATATTCAAATAATTTAAATTTTGAAATATAAAATATGACATCTAATTTAAAACGACGTATTAAGATTGACATTATCAGGGGCTGCGGAAAACACATGGCGTAGCCATTTGTAAAGGACAAATTGTGCATTTTCAACTAAGTACCTTCTTGGTGATGAAAGCAGTGACTTGGAACACACAAGTTGAAACCTAAAGACCAACTAACATGGTTTAGTGCTAATTCTTTAATTAGCACTAATTAACCAGAAGCAACAGTGTAATAGTACTTTTTTTAGGTTGGTGATGGTGACGAATGCAATGATATTTGATATAGTATTTATTTATATTTTAAAGATATATTATTTAAGTTTTATTACAACACACAAAAAAAAAGACAATTTGATATCATCTTATTCTTAATAAGTGATTAATTAATAAGTGTGGGTTGTTCCTTTTCGTCGTCCTCCTGTTACTTTCGTAAATAAAAGCTCGTTTAGATTGATTTTTTTTTTAAAAAAAGTCAAACTTTAATGACTTTTACGTAAAAAAAAAAAAAAAAGTAAGGAAGACTTACTTTTGATATTTAAAGCCAAAAACAAGTCGAAATCACGTATCACCAAAAATTCATGGACTATAGCACATGAAAAAGGGTAAATTCGATCTTTCCCACATTGGGGCTCGTTTGAACTTGAATAATGCATCCGTTTGTCCATCGGGACCATTCCACGCCATTAATAAAGTCGTAGCGGATCTCCATGAAAAATTTCTGCCAAAACAAATCGGGATTACGTATCACCAAAAATCCATGGACTATAACACACGAAAAATGGTAAATTCTATTTTCCCACTTTGGGGCTCGTTTGAACTTGAAAATGCGTTTGTTTGCCCCTCGGGACAACCTCACGCAATTAATAAGGTTGTACGAATGTCCATTAAAAATTTCGGCAAAAACAAGCTGGGATCCCGTATTACCAAAAATTCATGGACTATAGCACACAAAAATGGTAAAGTTCGGCGATTTTCTTAGTTTTTCATGTGTGTTAGTCTATGAATATTTTGGTGATATGACTTCTAGACTATTTTTTTGTGAAACCTTTATGGAACCCTCCATATGGAGTTAGGGGATCAGTACCTATAGTCTCACCATTTTTTAGAGTGATTTTTGGGCATTTAGGGGTCAATTTATAGGAATTAAGCGATTTTATGAGTTTCCCGTGTGTGTTAGCCCATGAATATTTTGGTCATATGGCCTCTCGATGATTTTTTTGTGAAAGCTTTATGGAACCCTCTATAGGGAGTTGGGGGCCGTACATACAATTTCACCATTTTTAGAGTGATTTTTAGGAATTTAGGGGTCAATTTATAAGAATTAGGCAATTTTCTCAAATTTTTGTATGTGTTAGCCCATGAATATTTTGGTGATATGATTTTCGGATGAATTTTTTGCGAAACCTTTTAAGGGAGTAGTGCGTACAGTCTCATCATTTTTAGAGTGATTTTTGGACATCCATGGACCAATTTATATGAATTAGGCGATTTTCTCAATTTTCGTGTGGATTAGCCCATTAATATATATTTTGGCGATATGGCATCCTAGAATTTTTTAGCAAAACTTTATTACGTTCCTGAAGTAAAAGAATGAACGAACTAATTAAGGATTATATATATACAACAAAAAGAATGCAAAATGTCTAAAATGAATGAAGTTAAATAAAGATTCTCAAAACAGGAGATGCAATTGGTGTTGTTGGCCATAACTTGAAATCAACATTATCATCACCAGGGGTTAAGTTTAAATCCAAACAAAATATCCTCTTGCTACTATTTGACTTCTTCAAAATTGGAATCATCGTCTTTTCATCTGTAATTTTATTAATTTCATCACGATGACGCCTCATGTGACCGCCTAATGCTTGACCCAATGAAAACTCCACACCACAAAAAGAGCATTTATGCATCTTATTCTTTTTGTTGGTTTGAACAAGAAACTCTCCGAGTAATTTTGGCTTTTTATTATGACTTGCACGATGACCGCCTAAGGCTTGGAAAGACGGGAAACGTTTATTGCAAGTCTTGCATTCAAAGTCATTAATGTGATGATGATCTGATGATGAAGAAGTGTTGTTGAAACGAGACAAAAGCATTAAAGCCATGGCCTCTACTTCAATTTGCATATTGTTTTCTCTGCTTCTTTTCATAGATGTCATATTATTGAAGATTTTTACAAATTGTATTATCAAATTTAGAAGTTTGAAAGAAAGATTTGAATTTAGAAGTCTAAGAATATGATACACTTTGGATGGTGTTGCTTCACATATATATAAGTTTGTGCCTTGGCTTTATTTTCCTTGTTGGTTAAGTGAGTCAAAGAAAATGTGCAATTTAAAAGAGACAAGAAAAATAAAATAATGTTGTGCTTCTTTGAGATTTCTAGAACACTTCCAACTGCCTTCATATGTGTATGGTTCACCAAATAAAGAGTTGAAAAAAGAAAAACACGTGCATACGTAGCGTCGTGAAAAGGACAATTGTGCTTTTTTAAGACTAATTTTATATTACTATTAGGCTCGTTTGATTGGAACAAGTTATTTCGTCATGTATATTACTTATATTCAATTTCTATGGCTAAAATGATGAGATAAATAATCCAAGGGTTATCTAATACTTCCAGCCAAACATGGGATAGAGTAATCCTATATTTTATCCTAAAATTATTACACTTTATACCTCACAATAAACTATTCCTAACTATGTTATTTCTTTTTACTATGTTTTGAAAAGAATGTTATCTTATTATGGCTAGAAATAGTTTAACTTATTTGTACCTTTAATGAAATGATTTACAATAACACAAATATGTAAAATTTATTTTAAACTACAAAATTTTAAAAATATATGTATAAAAAAATAAAAAAAAATAATAAAAAAATATATATAATAAATATTATGTCAAATAAGACGATGTCACCTAAAATGGGACGAAACAAATATTAGTTTCTTGGTTGGTGAGGGTTATGAGAGCAATGTGTTTGTAAACAAGTTGGAAGAGAAAAAACAAGGCAACATGGTTTAGTGCTACTAGTATTACTGTCAGAAATCGTTTTGTAGGAGTCAAAAATTCATGAAGGAAAATGACATAAATTGTGTGATGGAGTCAAATTTTGTTTGGCGGTTGGATATATGATGCAACTAACTTTTTATTTGTATTTTGGTTTTCATGAGATTGTTTTAAAGAAATCAATTCAGATTCATGCTGTGTAAAATTTATATATTGAA